TGAGAGTCAGGTCACGACTTTAACAGTTCTAGTTTATCCATGATGGTATCTCACTGTGGTGATAATTTGCATTTTTCCTGAGTACGAGGTTGAATGTCTCTTCGCGTGATTATTGGTCATCTAGACATTATCTTTTGGGACTTTTCTATGGATTAGCTATATTTTCCTTAAAAATTTATAGGGGTTCTTTATATATTCTGGACACAGTACTTTGTCAGTTATACTTAATGCAAATATCTTCTCCCTCTGTGTGGTTTTTTCTCTTTAATGCTGCTTTTTGATTAATAGAAGTTCTTAATTTGAATGTTCCTCAATGTTTGAAATTTTTCCTTTGTAGTTTAATACCTTTTAACTACATTTAAGAAATCTAGCCCCACCCCGAAGTCATCAAAACCTCATACATTGTCTTCTAAAAGTATTATTGCTGTGTCTTTCACATTTATACAATCTACCATAAGGTAACTTTTGTGTATGGTGTGAGATCAGGGTTAAGTTTAAATTTTTCCATATTTCTATGGAATTGATGCAAAATATCATCATTTTCATACTGCTCAGCAGTGACACTCTTTTCATAAGTTAATTTTCCATACGTACATGGGCACGTTTCTGGCCTCTTATTCAGTCTATTAGCCTATTTTTGTGCCAATTTCAGCATTTCCATATAAATATTAAAACCTACTTATAAATCCCCACAAAAAATTTTATGAGAGTTTGACTGGATTGCACTGAATCTATACATCTATTTGGGAAGAGCTGATATTTGTACAATACTGAGTCTTGGAACTATGAATGCGGTCTCTACCCCTTTACTTATTTAGATCTTTATTTTTTCTAAATAATATGTTTAGCACTTTTCCATGTAGAGATACTATACATCTTTCATTAGATTTATTCTTAATATTTGATAGTTTGGAATACTACTCAAAATATAAAGTTTTAAAAATATATTTCAGATTATTGCTATTGAAATGTAATTTATTTTTGTATATTGACATTGTATCTAACAGCCTTGACAAATGTACTTATTACCTGCTACCAAATTTATACCAGTCATTTCTTTTTTATTGGTAATACAGTTGACATATAATGTTGTCTACGTTTAAGGCGTACAATAGCTGAGAGCCTGAACTCTTTCTGCCCTCATTGTCAAACATTATCTCAAAAATAATAAAACATTCATTTTGTGGTCCACGATATATAAAGAAATTCCATATGCATCTGATCCAATACCATCGTAAGGTACTGTTACTAGCGCTACTTTACAGAAGAGAAAATGACATCTCATAGCAGATAAGTGGCTTTTGTAAGATCACCCAGTAGGCGGCAAGACTGTCACATGAACTCAGAGTTGCTGCATCTCCTCTTGGGTCAAGGAGTCAATTGTTAAATGTGGATAGAAGCAAGCCTAGACTGAAAATACACACAAACGCACACATAAATACACACTCACCCACCTAGTGAAGACACGTGCATATGTGACTACCCGGGAATAGGACCAGTTTCCATAAGACACAAAACCAACCCTATTATTTTATAATCATACCCTGACATGCACGTAGTTAGAAAGCACGCACAAGGAAAGAATGGGATCTTAGAACAGAGGGGTTAGGCTGAAAGGTCGCACATCCGCAGTGAGAGCGAGCTAGTTCTGAGCAGACGGGAGGACGCCGTCCTCAACAGAAGCAGAAAGGGTGCTTCAGAGAAACAGAACCAAAAAAGCACCGACGATGGGAATTTCTGCTTAGTCCATCATCTCAAATGGCTCTCCTGACAGTTTATAAAGGTAAATAGGAATACATCAAATCTACAGTTAAGACGCTAAGAAAGCACAGACGTTCCTGCTTTTCTTCTTTGACAATTCACGATACAGGTTTTCTACAGAGGAAGTTGCAATTCCCTTTTTTTACCCACCAAAGAGTTCCAAAAACACATGGGAATTTATGCTGGGAAAGTAAAATGAGGAAAAACCACATCTCCTAAGGGCTGCAATGACGGGTACACGAGACAACTTACATGAAGCCCTTTCCAAGTTATAAATGCTGTATAAAGGCTACTTCTGGTCTCCAACGGCACCATAACATCTCATTAAAGCTTCTGTTGATGATCTCAAAAGAGCTGTTGCTCATTTGCAGCATTATAACAGCTGTTAAGAGGTTAACAACTTATGAAATACCCTAAAATTTGATAAATACTTACAATTTCAAAATAGCATTGCATTCATAATCTTTATAAGAAAATGAGGCACTAAAAATAATCTTAGGCAAATTCACTCCATATATATGACAGCAGCAATTTAGCATTATCTTTGCACTGATTTTTGATGAGTGTATCTGTTGGTTCTTATGGGATTTGATTTGCTTTTCTGTGAAACCACTCTGTTGCATTATATCTCCACCAGGACTGGCAGGTGAAGGTACCAGAACCTCAGGTCGCAAGAGATTTGAGCATTGCTGCCATCACAAATCGGTAACTGCCAACCCTCTAACACAGGACACAGTAGATTTCCAGACTAGGCTCTAGATGCCCTGGATTATGGGGGCTGAATGCTTTCTCAGGGAGGACTGCAGGTAAGGAGTGACACTGGGCATGTCAAAGTTCGTGAGACTGTTTGACAGCAGTTGGTCTGTCCACTTGCTCTCCACCCACCACCAAGGTGGCTGCTTGTACTCTCACATTGCCTTTTCAATCATACCTTCCCCTCCAGGTCCTCCATACTGCTCGTTTATTTTATACTGAGATGTTGGAGATGAATTATAGCTGAGAACACGTGTGTGTGTGTGTTGGGGTGTGTGTGTTGGGGTGTGTGTGTTATCTCTGTTCCTCTGTTCTTGTTCCTGGGTACCTGAGTGCCCTGGACCAGAGAAAAGCTGTCTTTAATTAGACCTGAAAGTTTCCTAACAGGTACTATTCAGGTTGGTCATGTTTAAACATATCATGAAAACCCACTAACTGGCAGAAGTTACAAATCAAAAGTGTGGATTTCTCATTGGTGTGTCTGAGGTTGTGTGGCAGGACAGCCTAACAGGGACATGAGCCAGTTCTGGTCATCAGGACACAGACTTATCATTAAAGAAAACAGTTGGCCAAGGATGAGTTCTGGAGTTAATAACCTGGATAATTCATGTCCTGGAAGATGGAAAAAGAACTGGTATTTGAAAGTCTAAGCTCTAAGAAGCATATAGCCACATCATCCGAGGAGGACGGGATATCAAGTACACAGAGAAAGTGGTGGGCTGAGCTGAAGGGGGCTGGGTTTCCCAGGACTGGGAGGACAGAGGCTGATGGGTTCCTCAGGGAGACGGAGCACCTAGGGTATGGCAAGATCTCAGGGGTCAGCTCTAGGCAAAGGTACTAGTAGGAGAGGATATGGAGGAAAAAGAGCCACTGGCTCAGAATGAAACTCAGGGTTTCAGACAAGGAGCATCTCCACGGTAACCATGATGGTCTGAAACCAGGGGCCCTTCCCTAACTTTCCAGGATGGTGAAAACCTCAGGATTCTTGAACTTAATCCAAAGAATGGGAGTGACCCCCACTCCTCATGACTGACATTTGATTTCCCACAGGTCCTGGCAGATGGAAACAAGTGCAGATTTGATTTATTTTGGACAAATAAACAGGACATTTTCTGCTCTCCAGTCTCATTTTGCAAATTTATATTATTTATCGATGTTTATTTAGAGGGCACCACCCTCTGCTGCTTCTAAGAAGCCACAGTCTGTACCACGTGGCCCTGCCTTTCGACCTGCCACGGGTGACCACAAGAGCAGTCTAATTTGATCCATGTGGGATGGCCTGAAAAGTCCTGCTGGGCCAACTAGATTGCTTTGCCTCCCGCAATATGAATTAGAGAGAGAGAAGTGGCCAGGAATTGTGGGCACAGAGCCCAAGGGTCATGGAGGGTCAAGGCTGGCACGCACGCGAATGGGTTCAAATTATGCGGGAGGGAAGCGGAGTGAGTGGAGAAGGCTGGCTGGGAGAGAGAGAGAGAGAGAGGACAACAACAGAACATATGGAAAGCAGAGGCAGAGGCAAGAGGAACTTGGGAGGCAGAGAAGCCTCAGCACCGCGCTCTCCGACCCTATGTCCGGTTGCTGTGAGAGCTGTACGTCCTCCCTGCTCACAATGTACTGTGAAGCCACGCACTGTATTTTTTAATAATGAAACTACCTCTTACTTAAGCTGGCTTTCATGTCTTCTTGCACCTCAAACACCCCATCCTTAGGACTTACTCAGAGCAGAATGAACAGCTATGCCTGCACACACCACGGCCCTACACTTTTCATCCGAAGTCACCAGTCTGATTCTTGTGACCACTGCCTACGGTTGTGACTATAGAAGATAACGTGCTTGTTTGCTTAGAACAGGTGAGGCTTAAAGGAAACTACGACCAAGGAGGTGAGAACCAAATCGCAAGTTCTGTGCCTTCTGTGGCAGCTGCGATGATTTAGGTCCCTTTGTGTCCCAGACCATCACAGGAAAACCATCACGGAGGGGAAAGGAGCGCGACCTAGTTTGAACTCAGTGCCATCCTGACATCTCTGAGCTAAAGAACAGGATCAGAAATAAGTCATAGGACTAGCTTAAGTGCTGCAAGGTTATGAAACGTGGGCTCTTTGAGTGGACTCGCTTTGAAGGCTCAGCACAAGAATACTCAAAATTATATCCCAAGAGCAAAGCAAGTTTTCCCTTGATGGACATATTTACAGCATTAATTCTGTTGTAGTGCTTTCGACTCTGCTAAGTAGAAGAAATGAGTGTCAGAGTTTTGACTAGGAGCCTGGGGAAAAGGTACTCACAAAATCTACACTGAATATTCTGTTTTTAGAACCTGAGTCTATTCATAGAGGTGTAGAAGGAGGCAGGGGGAAAACTTGTCTTCGGACAATACCAGTCAGAGAACAGTTTTGGCAAAACTTACTAGTCTGAAAATATCAAACCCTCTTTTTGTCTGAACTGTGTAATGCTCAGGTGCCACTTCCCCCCATCTGTCCCTTCTTACCACTGACGTTTTTTTGCCTGAAAGTTTGGCCCATAATTTCACAAAGTAGTTTCTGTCTGTAGAATTCAGGCACTCCCAGTCACTCGAACCTCTAAACTTCCTAGGAGACTTTTCAGATTTCAGCTGAGGTTGTTTAATATCTGCTAGGGGGAAAAAAAATCAAGTTTAAAATAAAAGGCATAAAACAGGACAAAGCAACGTTCTGAAGTGAGAGAAATGTTTTATATCTGGATTTGCCCAAACACAACAAAGTATATAGTTAAAGTCTGTGAATTTCAATTTGAAAATAAGATAGCTAAAAATATGTCTTAGGCTATGATAATAATTATGACTGTAAATTATAAAGTGACCCTGTAGCACCTAGTAGATACGTCCTGAGAGTATACTTAGTGTTTAATCAATGTAAGCTTATGAATGGAATTAAAGGAAGTAAAACCTGGCAAAAACAATGGTTTTCAGATACTTAACTGAAAAGTTCCCTTTATAATTACTTTCCATTTGACAAAATTATCCTAAAAGGCTATAATAATAATAATAATAACAATAACCACAGCAGCAGCAGCAACATAATAATAGCAGCAACAATATAATAATAATAATAAAACATGCAATGCTAAGAAACTAAAAAAGAGTGGAATGGATGATGAGGTCACTATTTAACAGTATTCATAAATAATGTCTAATGTTTCCTTTAAAACATTAGAACATCCAGACACTTACAATATAAAGAGTCCAAGTTTCTATTACTGCACACGTATAGGGGGCCCAGGTGTAAATACCTTTGGATATATAGGAACATCAACACTTTCAGTATCACTCTAAAAATGCCAAAATAAATAAATTCCACATGGACTACTAGCCAATATGGCCGACTGAGCAGATTGGGGGAAGCTATCTCCAGCCAAGACAAAATAAACACTGGATAATATATTACAGAAGTTTGTTTTTGATACATAGCAAAATTGAAACCAAGAAAGAAAAATTTCCAGGTGCTAGAAGTGAAGTGAAGATTCCACGTAGGAGGAGTTGGGAATTGAAGCCAAGAGGCAGAGTGTTTTGGGGGCTAAGGTTTCTGGGCTAAGAGGGGAGACCAGTCCCTGTGTGCTTCATGTACAAGACCCGAGAAGTTGGAAAGGAAGTGTCCAGAAATCTCAGCCCATGGACCTCAGGACTTAGCCTGGGCACAGTCTCACCTGGACTGAGGGTAGGAACACCTGTGGGAAATCAGACTTCTAATCCTGTGCCGTGTTGCTGGTATGGAATCTGAAATTGAACTCCCACCAAATTGTGTGGCAATCCCGAGCCAATAAAAACAAGGTAAAAAGTGTTTCAGACAAATACAACTATTTAACCATGGCACGGAAGTCAGAAGCTCCACAACCCAGCATCTGTCTTGAGAGAGGGGAAGAAACTCAGAAGACGCAACAAATGGGCAAATCCACAGCCAAGGTCCCAAGGTGATAGAGCATTCTGGAAAGGAACACTGTAGTAACTATATTTATAACAATCACAGACATGATAGGAGACAACTGTTATCATTATGGAAACATTCTCTGTTAAATCCCTGTGATGGAAAAGCCATTCAACTCATATTCGTTGAGCATATGCTATGTGCCTGCCAGACAGTGCTCTGGACGTTGGGGATATGGCAGTCAATAAAAAGTCCTTGACCCATGGGACTTGACATTCTACTGTTGGAGACAGACAGATAACACGTCAGATAATGTCAGGTAGGAATAAGTGCATTGAAGGACCAGGAAGCCAGATAAGGAGACAGACTGAGATGGTCAAAGAAAAACCTCTCTAACGTGGTGACATCTGGACAGTGATCTCAAGTCATAAAGAAGGAAGGCATCAAACATCTGGGGTGAAAGCATTTCAGGCAAAGAGAGTGGCTTTACATAAGGACCCAGAAGCGTGCTTAACACAACTGAGTTACAGTAAAGAATTCAGCACGGCTGAAGCACAGGAGAAAAAAGGAGATGGTGGGGCTGGATTCTGTGCTCATTAAAAAACAAACAAGCAAACAAATGGAAAACCGGAACTCTTGTCCTCTTGATGGGACTCTAATAACAGAGCATTGTGAAAAAGGCCAGTTGAATTTGGAAGAAGTTAGGATAAAATGTAAAGAAATAGAAAGCATATTTATATAATTTCCATAGAAAGGATGCTTTATATATAAAAGCTTTTTTAAAATACAGTATCTGTGTCAGGGTTCCTTCTTCTAGCTCTCTCAGACATATGCTATTTGTACTACAATAGAGACAAATCAAGTTCTATCTGATGATACAATGCAGCTATAATTCAACATGTAATGTCCTAATGGCTTCTCAGCAACAAAACATTTTGGGTAAAGATAATGTGTTTAGATTACTATTAAATTACATTATAATGCCACCACTTCAGTGACTTGGACTCCTATAATAAAGAGTTACATATAGTTCTTAATATAATTTCTAATGTCTTAATACATTAATGGATAAGAGATTCTATTTCTCAATTAAAAAAAAGAAAATATAATTACCAACATCATAATGCAACAAAGTTTCTTAAAGTGATCTTATTCAAAGTATCTCAATTAAAGTCAACCTTGAGGCAACGTTAAAAAGAAAAAATATATATATATATAAGTTACTGTCCAACCTTGAGGCAATGTTAAAAAATATATATATATATACATATATAAGTTACTGTCCAGTCCATAAAAATTACCAAGTTCCTCAGTGTATAGGCTAGTTAAATTAAACACCTACAATGAGGCATACATGAATCTAACGAGGTATGACAGACTTTTAAGTTATTTTATGGGTTGGTATCATTATCAAAGGCAGGAAAATATAAATGAAATATGTGGAACAACTGGAACTACATCTCAAATTAATTCAAAATAACTTAGACCTTTTATTTAGACTTATATCTCTTGGCAGTCAAGTGAATTAAAATAATAAAATAACATTTTAAAACATTTTAAAAGAATAGGCATACAACCCAACCGAAATAACAAATGTAGTAGAAGCCACAAATCTAAGATAAAACATTTGTATGTGTATTTCCTAACGTATCATCGCACAGACTAAATAGGTTCTTTTACTGCAAAAAACAAAAAAAAAAAAAAAGGAGGAAAGAAAAGATGTTGATCTGATATTACAGGCACAAAGCCATTTCAATAACTGGTAATAAAATTAGAATTTGAATCAGATTGTGAATATTTTCAAAGGCAAAAGATCCCTACTTTCATAACCAATTTTTCTATAGCAGTAAGATTACTTGCATAGCAAAGCAACGAAGGCATTCTCCTGTCCAAAAACACAAGACTGAACACTTTAAAGTATACATTTTTGACATTTAAATAAAACCTTGCCAAAAAAAAAAATAAATCAACACTAGTCTGTCTCTCTTTGAAAACACTTAGAAATGTATGACTTGGAAACAGGCTTTAATTTTCAGACAATAGTTCTCAGCCAGAATCATTCATTTTTCCTTCCCACTCAAATGGGACTTTAAAAAAAACACATGTTTATTTAGGTAATAGTGAGTTTTTTGAAACTAACAAGAGTAATTTATACCTACCATGATTAAATACATATATATACATAAAATATAAATAGCTATAAAAATCCCTGTAAAAGTGTTTCAATACCAAAATATGTAACCATAAAAAGGGCTGAAAACAATAATCGGCACAATTTAAAATATTTATTTACTTTTAATAGGATAGTTACATAATTCATAGCGGAAAATTAAGGGAAATATTCAGTTCATTAAGGAAGTTACTATCACAAAACTGAAGGTGCTGAAAGAAGCCATTTTCCCAGGACAGAATTAAATCTTAAAAGTCTTGTCTCTCTGTGCTTCTGAGAAAGGAATAATAGCAACTAGAAAAATAATCATTTCACATAATGTCCATAATCATTTTCCACAGCAAAATAGCTTTTGTAGTAGAAAGCTACCATATGAGTCCAAAAAAATACAGTAATAATGTTCATGTTATATACATGGTAAAATGAACACACGAAACCATTCTAACAGTAAAGCGCTATATTCTTGAGTGTCCAATCAAAGGAATAATCAGGCATTTAAGCAGAGAACAGATGCAGGACAAAGGAAAGCACGTGAGTGCGTCTTTCCACTCACAGAGAATGAGGTACAAAATAAATGCTTCTCTCTGTTGAACTTCATACTTTGAAATGTCTTCAGTAGAGCCAAACTAATGGGTTCAATACTGGAATACCCTATCCAGGGTGTCCCAGAAAAAACATAATAACAATAGTACCCTGAATCTCAAGAGTGTTCTTTTAATGGATGACTTTATCATGAAGAAGTGAACTGACACTTTGAAGGAGACAGGACATAAGACAGGTAGATTTCAAGAGTGGAAACTTGATGCATAAGATCTGGATGTGTACAGAATCAGGGAAAGGCAGAGGAGAAAAGGGAAGCTAAGACTGGCAGGAAATCAGACAGACACCTGCAGGGAGCTTGAACACACACTAAAGGTTTCCTCTCCTTTGAGCAATATAGGTTTGATACTAAATTTCTGATGTGATTTTGACCCAACCCTATACCCCCACCTCCGGGAAGTGTGGTCTTTGCTCAAGGGCTCATCCTTCAAGAACAACATTTTCAAAGATGTTGTTTCATTGGTCACTTCTCAAGCAAAGACATCTTTTGTCTTTCTTTTGCTATCTTTGCCCTTGGAAACCAAGGGTCTTTAGATCTGGTAGCTTGTAGAAGCCAATGTTTGTTTCAAACCACCGTAAAAGAAAACAAAATCCCCACTTATCTGGTATTTTATTCCTGAATCAGGTAGCTTGTTGGCATTTACCACTTAATCAATCTGAAACACAGATTGATTTTATGTCTTTGATATTATCAATGACAAAAAATAGCAAAAATTATAAATAACATTTATTGAGTAGGTACTATGTTCCAGGTGTTATTACAGTCTTTTCTGTGTGTATCATGAGTCAGTTTCATAAAAACCTCAGAGCTGATGTCTCCCCACTTCGTTCTCCAAGATACAAGCCTACCTGTGAATGTGCATGAAAAACACTCAGTCTCAGAAATGTTTTGCTGAACTACAATTTCTTTCCAATATTATTCTAATTCTGTTTAAGCCCCTTAATTCAATTAAGGTTGT